GTCCTGTAAATCACTTTGGTGTTCTCTCCCTTCTGCTCTGTGGGACAGTCACGTAGCACAGACCACGACAACACCCCATGGACACAGAGAGAAGGGATCGCCCACACACCCGTCCCAAAGGCTCCACACCACCAATCCTCTGCTCTCCTGCAGCACTGACCAGCAGCCTGCTGGGCACACACACACACAGAGGGATTCCAATGAAGGGGACACACTGCACAATTCCTGCCTCCTCCCACTGACAGTGGATTCGTGTCGGATGCTCTGAAGGGACCGTTTGTTGCAGGAGCTACAACTTCTCCCATCGCTCGCCCACGAGCTGCCACAGCAGCAGAGGATTTCCATCCACAAACATTCTCCTTCTGTTTTCAAAAGGGCTTCTCCCTTGAAAACTCCCTTTTTTTTCCTTTTTTTGGGGGGGGTTTTTTGCCTTATAAAGGAATTCAAGCAGGCACTGCAAGCGAGTATGAAAAAAACCAGCACCCAGCATTCCTCCAGGACAGAAATGTTTTGTGCCCCTGATGAAATCAGGAGTGGGATGTTAGAAGATCATTCCTACCAACAAAATAAGGCTGCTCAGCCTCCACAAGTTCATCAGTAAATCAAAACACCCTTCTCTTCTGTTCTATCAGGTCTCTGTACCTGGATGTCCAGTGCGATGGAGAACATTCAACCCACTGGGGTTAAAATCTGCCACAGCCTGATGGAGCCTCCTGATTTCCAAAAGGTATCCCAAACTATTTGTTTGCATTTTTAGCCAGCTATCTTCTAGGTGATTTCTAACTATTTCACCTCAGAGAGTCTTAGGAGAGCCAAGGGGAGTTCAGGTTGACTCCCAAGTGCAAAGCAGGACCCCAGGCTGGCCCTGCCATTCATCAGCAGAAAGGACAAGTGGCAAAGAGAAGAGAGTTGGCTAAGAGAGCTAAGTAAAACCGCCTGCAAAATCCATGTGAAGTGAGAAAAACATTAGATCCTGACTCTTCACATGTCCCACCACTGGAGGATTTGCATGAGTAAGGGTTGGGAGCTCTGGAACATAAAATGGATTTAGAAAGCGAAGAAAGCACCACGTTGGCTCACACTGGTGTGGAGAGACCTGCACGAGGCTCAGGCTTCTTTTTAGGGGTTTCTCTGCTTATTGCAGAGCAACAACAGAGTTAGAAAATCTGCAAATTTAGGTCCAGATTGACCCCATTTAATGAGAGTGCTCCAACTGAGCCACTTCACCCTAAATTCTTCCGTGCTTTGTGCTCCAGTGGCATCAACAGGAACTGTGTGGGGAAAGAGGTTTTACCTGATGCAAAATGGGGCTAGATTTGGAGGTATGATGTGAATTATCAATATTCCCTCAGCTGGTGCTCACTGCTCAGCCCAGTGGGGAAGGCACCACTGCTGCATCCCTGGCTCGCCATCGCTCCTGGACACAGCAGCAACACCGGACAGGAATGGTGATGGGATATCCCAAAGGGATAGGAAAGACAGGGCAAAGCCCCAGGGAAACACCTCCTGCCTCCCCACAGAGCGTCCAGCCTGTGCCTCAAAGCAATTACTGGCACGTGGAGCTTTGATTCCCAGTTTGGCTTTCGTGATGCTGAAGCGAGGGCTTGGCAGCAGGAGGAGCAGGGAGATTCCAGGACCTGATTCAACACTTGCTAGTTAAATACTGGACTGCAACCGTGGCCCCAGGCAGAGCCAGGGACATACAAATTGCTTTTGCAGGCTGGCTTCATCCTCCTGCTATTGGCTGTCCTCTCATCCTGGATGTTTAATGCATGCAGTTCAGAGGGAGGCACGGAGACGGCAAGGGAGAGCCAGACAGATTTACAATATGAAAAAAAAAAAAAAAAAAAGAAAAAAATAAGGTCATTTGGCTCAGGTTTGGGTGCTCTGGTGCCAGGCAACACAGCAGAGCAGGGCAGCCAAGGCTGAGAGCATCTCCCTCCACTGAGCTCTGTCTGTGCACACACAGGCTGGACGTGATGCCTGGCATGAGATGGAATGGGAAGCACGAGCCTCCCCCTCTGCCTACACAGCAGGAGGCCTGACCACAGCAGGACTGACTGCAAAATCAGCTCCAGTCCCCTCTGTCACCTGTCCCCACCCTCATCCTCCGGCTGCTCCGCTTCCGATTACCACCTGTAATGGAAACGGCAGTTGTGGAATAAAGGAAAGCAATTTTCCCTTGTAATCATTTTGCCATATTTCTGGTGAGATTAATTACAGCTATTTGGCTTTGCTCAGCACTCAGTTGAGCTGTGCAGGGCTCTCACTCACCATGCCAGAGAGACCTCGGCAAAGGTACCAGAGCTGGTCCAGAAGGGACTGATCCACCCCCCTGCTGCTGGCCACGGCCCCCACTGCCCAGTGGAAATGCCAACAGGCACTCAGTGAAGAAGGAATGCTATCCCACTGAAAATCTGACTCTGTGCATCCAAGGAGGTTTGGCAATACAATGACAACCAGAAACCACCGCCCCTTCAACATCCCACTGTGCCTGAGACCCCCTTGATCCCACAACTCTGGATCGAAGAGAGGGATCAGCACTGCACTAATGCACCCACCTCCTGCAAACACACTCCCACCATTCCTGATTGTAGGGATAATTAAACTCCAGTTCTTTCCAAAACCCTTCCAGCCCAGCTACAGGGGACAGGGGATTGTGGAGCACAGCCATGAGCTCGGAGAAACAATGACTCTAAATTGTCCCTTTCTAACCCCAAGCTTGTCAGAAGACCTCCTCTCCAACAAGAGAGAGAGAAAATTAAAAGAAAGAACTAAGAAAGAGCAAAGAAAAAGTAGAAATGGCTGAAGAAAGCATCGTTCACACGTGCAGTCCATGGGTGTTACAAGGTCGGTATTGCAGGGAGAAGGAGGGCAGGGAAAGGAAAAACCATCATCTCTTCTGCAGCAGCCCCTGGCCTGTTTTCCCCAGCTGGAGCTGGGAGTGGCAGAGCACTGATGGGGTGTGGATGGCCAACAGATACACAAAAAAGTGTGGAAACTTAATATTTGAAAGTCCCTGAAACCTTTGGCAGCAGAGCTGAGTCAAGGCAAGGCCAACACTTGGGAATAGGACCCCACTACTCCCTTGGAAGCATCTCAGGGCACTTGCAAACCCCAACCAGAGTGGGGGCTCTGGGGAGACACCTGCTGTGGAAGGAATCAACTTAGAGATGAGATCAGGAGCATCCCTGGCAGGGGAACTGCCAGCACATGAATAAAGCAGTGAGTGCTCCAGCACAGGGAAGACAAGACAGGTGCTCCCTTTAGTCTGTTTATAATCTCTATATCATGGCATTTAGACCTCAGCAAAAGGTTGACTTCAACTCACAGCCTAAATCAGCCTCTAAACCAGAAACCCAGGCAAATCCCCCCCTCCAAACCCTGGCCTGGGCAGAGCCAGCAGCCAGTGTCCCACGTTCCCACTGTGTCCCATGTTCCCAGCCCTGGGGTCGTTGCCATGTGCTCAGGGCCTCATTTACTGCTGAAACCTCATCCCTGCAGTTCAAAAGATGACAAACCACAGCTATTCCCTGGTTGCTCCAAGGGAAGGCAAATGCTCCAGCAGGCTTGTCAGATAAAGCCCTGCAAATCTCTGGCACGAGGATGTGCTCCCACAGCCCCTCCAAGCTGATGATTAAGGCCAGGGATTGGCAATTAAAGACAGAGTGGCACAAAGCACTGCTTTAAATCTTTTTTCATTTTCAAGAATTTCTTGTGTTTCAAACTGCAGAGAGTTCCCCACTGCCCCATCAGCTAACGCTGATAATGCCCTGATGAGGTGACAGTGGGTGTGCATTTCCTATTCTAATTAAGAAAAAAATCCCCACAAGGGTCATTACTCAGCTCGGTGTGGTGAGGACACACCCCCAACATCCTCCCTCCGTTTCTGCTGCTTTATTGGAAAGACCAAATTTTAGTCACCAACACACCTTAAACACGCTCAACACCAAAAGCAGCTCCCACTGCTGATGGAATGGGGGTGTTTCTCCACCTCTGAGTCTTAAGGACAGCAGTGCTGAGCCAGATCTCCAGGATATGTGACCCCAATCCTATTAAACCATGCAATCCTTTATTTGCTTGTGCTTGTTTTCCTCCTGTGTCCACTGTTCCTCCTCTCTTCTTATCTTTCCAGACTCGGTTTTTTCCACTGGATTAGTTTCCACTAATGGCTACAAACAGCATCTACTACAACAAGAACCAGAACTCTCCTGGAACCAGGAGCCAGCACTTAGATACGAATCCTGACTTTGCCAGATTGTGGCTTCTTTTCTATTTCTCACCTCCTTATACAAAAATAGTAAATATATAATGCATAACATCACAGAAAACAAGGAGCCCCTTCAGCCTCATCCACAGGTTTCTTGGCTCTGTGGATCCAGGACCTGGATGAGGAGGGGATTGGGGTCATTTTCTCCCATTTTAATAAAAAAACTCCTGGTGTGTAAACACACTGCAAGCCACGGTGTGCATGGTGCCTGTACATTAATTACCATCTAATTAGGGTGTCTTGGAGCAGTTTGTCTCCTGCTCTCTAATGCCCAGCATGGGATGTCTGGAGGATGGATGGTTCAGGTTTTCCAGCCTGTTGCTCCCTCTCTGGGTGCTACTGTGCTTCTCTCTGGAAACCAGGATGCAGAGGGGAATGGGAAACGGAAAAGGAGGAAAACACCTCTGGTTCAGCATGAAGGAACCTGACAACACAACCACAAATGGGGGAAGCACTGGTGAGATTGGAGACAACAGAGGATTCTGGAGGTTGGGGCAAGCTGGGAGGATTTGACATCCTGGCTCTCCTCCAGGAGGAGGCTCCGAGCACTTCCCAAACCGTGGGGGATTTGGCAGCTCCCACCAGCACCCACATCTGCACACCAGGGCTGAAAGCACCGGGAAAGATCCCCCTTCCTGCTCTCCTGAGCCCGTGGTGGCCTCGAGGGTGGCAGGGAGCAGGCTGGGGACAGTGACCCACGGGGGGACAGCGATTTCCAAAGCCCACTCACCAGGACTGCGGCTTCCTCTTCATGATGCCCTGGCGTCTCCACTGCGAGTGGGGGCTCAGGTGGTACGTGAGCTGCCGGCAGAGCTTCTCCATGGCCCCCAGGGAGTCCCCTTCCTGCAAAGGCAAGGCAAGGACACCAGGTGAGGGGTCTGCAGCGTGGCCATCACACCTAAAGGATGCTCTGACCCCAGAGAGGGTGGCAAGCCTTAAGGAACCGTGTGTAAAACTCTGTAAGGGGGGAAAAAAACCCCCTCTCTGATTGATAAGATGCTGCAAGGATGCACCATTATCATCTGATACCACACAACTGACATTTTACAGAGATCTGATGGAGATCTTGGGAACAGAGCTCATCAGAAACTCTCGAAACGTTTATTTTTTAGGGGGAAAAAAAAAAAAGGCTTGAAGGAAAACAGGGATTTTGGTGTCCTCTCAATTTCAACTAAAGTTTCCACCACAAAGGATACTGGGTTGGGAAACTTTAACTCTGCTTAAGTTTTGGTTCCTAAAAAAATAAACCAAAATACAACCCCCGGTATCTGGGCTGTTCAGTCATGTTCCATTTCGAGATTTCAGGATTTTCTGCATGCTGGGCAGGGCTGATGAGGAAGATGCTAAGGAAGAGGCTGCTGGGCACCCAATTACTGCTGCCTTCACATCCTCCCTGCCCAAGTGAGCTGTGAGCTCGTGTTTCCTGCAGCCTAATTTATGCAGCGCATTCTCCCCCTCGCCTCAGAGTCAGCAGAGCGGGACCGGCCTTATAAAGACATCATAAATATTGAATTACCAAGGAGCACTTGGGGTTTTGACAAATCACCTCTGGGTGTACAGGGAAACAATTACATCAGGTTCTCTCAGGGTGAAAAAAAACCAAAAAACAACAAACAGGACACAAAGGGTGTCTCTACAGATGGTTGGAGCAGAAACACCAGTGCAGGACTTGTAGTTTTTGGCTTCTCTGCTCAATCCACTCTGAGAATGAAGCCCTGCCGTAAATTGGGGTGGTTTATTCCCAGACACATCCAGGTGCCTACGCAGTGACTGCCATTGAACAAAAGCTGATTTAATGCAGGGCTGCTGCTTGCCCAGCTCCATCTGCACCAAAGGCACGCAGTGACAGGAGATTTCAGCAGCTCAGGTGGAAACTCCAGATCCACAGATACCAGCAGGGCACGGTGTGTGGAAAACACTGTGTCAGCACGAGCTGGGAACAGCGAGAGCCGGGAGCCGCTTCCCACCTGAGCTCCGCAGGCGTTCCACGTTCGTGCCTCCCCATTCCCGGGAAACAGGGGTTTAAGAGCATCTTTAAACCCATACTTTTCAACACCTCATTTATCACCACTCTTTAAATTGAAACAAGGGGTTTAATCCCACAGATTTCAGCGGGATGGCAGCCTATACTGAACCTCGGGCATGCCCACAGCTCCTCTCCTGATCGGAGACCCTGCGGCAAGAACCTGCCCTGGGCTTGGGGAACCCTGGGAGGCTCAGCCTGGCAAAAAACAAACCAAAAAAAAAATAATGAAAGACAAGGTTTTATTTCATGTTTTCCACTGGAAGATCTGGAAACACACTGCAGTCATTCCTTAATTAAAGCCTCAACACATTTTGGGAAGGCAACAGCGCTCACCACTCCCTCCCAGCGCTCTCTGCCAGCAACACCTTCCTGGCTGTGTATCCAGTATCCCCAAAGCGAGATGAAAACACCACGAATTCTGACACCTCCCTATTTTTTCTACCTTTGTGCAATATCCACAGCAAGCTGCCAGGTGCCATCAGCTTTCATTTCATCTTTTTTTTTTTTTTTCAGCTGTTCTGAAATAGCAGCGTCCACCCTCGGTTCCCATCGCCCAGCCCTCCCTGCATAGCCTGAAAAAAACTCCTGGTTGAGAAGGAAATAATGTGCTAAAATGCTGTGGAGTAAGTACACAGCGCTGACATTCTGTGCTGCAAATTACGTCCAACATAACCCTGAAAGGGACTATTAAATTTGTTTCCAGTATTATCTCCCGACAATTGAACTGCTGGGGAAGTGAAATGATGCACAAGACAATGTGGAAAAGAAGCTGAGAAAGTAAAAAAATCCAAATTTTTGCTGGTCCAAATATGACAGGACCATCTTGCCTCCACAATAAGAGGCTCTTCCCCAAGCAGTGGGCTCGTGCTGCAGCTGCCAGAGCTCTGGTGCAGCAGGTCCAGGTGGCTGGTGGAAGCTCAGACCTCAATTTCACATCAAACTGATTTCTGAGAACTTCAGCCCGAAGAATTCCCTTCAACAGAAAGCAGCAAATCATCCATCAGCACTGACACAGCACACTGAGGGGGCTCCAAGGGAAGAGGCTACAGCAGAGCAAAGCATTTTAATCCTTTATATCAGCAGCCCCAGCCAGCTCATCCTTCCATGGTCATGCCAGACAGACCACTCCTTCAGCCCTTTTGCTCCACAAGCTCAACTCCCAAACCCTGCACACACAGGGCTCCTTCTATTTTTGAGTTTTAAAACGTGACTTAGAGAACAAGGTTTCTGCACATACCAGCTCATCCATGGTCTGTAGCCCAGTGCTCCACTTAAACACTGGGATAAATAAACTGCTCATTTCAGAGCCCTCCAAAGACACATTATTTCTGCACATCTCATTCCCATCACTGCACTTCACCTGCCTGTGGGTGAGACACAAACCTTTCTGCTTCAAGAACCCACTTTTTTTTTTTTTTAGGTTCTTCCCAGAACCTCTGCAATTCCTCCTGGGAGTTTGTAGGAGTCTGCAGAGCAGCCCCAGGTGTGATGCCTGGCACACAGGGCTGCCCTGGGCTGCACAGAACTCGTGTGCAGCAGAAGGGAGTTCTGCTGGTGCAGTGCCAGAGGCTCCTCGTACGGTCTAAACAAAAGCTTTTTCACTGTTTACGATCCAAGTCTATCAGGAAATAATTGAAGCTGACGCACACGCTGGTGGGACTGAGCCCAAGAGACTGTTTGAAAACTGAGTCAGCTGAAAAATCAGCCCAGCTTGCCTGTGTTGGCGAAGTTTTAACCTCACTGTCTGTGGCAGAAACATCCTCAGCGTGATGGAGGAGAAGCCCCAAACCCCAGCGGGCAGGCAGATCCCACTGCCATCCTGCCCTGCTGCTCACAGGGATTAACTGCTTCCCACAAAATGAAAAGCACCAGCCTAAAAAAAGCCTTTTGGCCCCATCTACTTCAGTCTGGATGACATCACTCATGCCAGGGCAGTGCAGTGCTGGGGTTTTGTGGTCAGAGGGTGCAGGAGTGGCAGGGCAAGGCTTCCCTCCACCTGCAGAGCCTGAAACCCACAGTGCTGGGTTCTGGCAAACACCTCGTGCCCTTTCCAGGGAAAGGGCAATAATGAAGCACCAGGAGCACGTTGTCCCCCCACCAGCCCCAAAGTGCAGCAGTCATCGTTCCTGAAATAACACACAGGGATGAACCTCTGGCAAAGGCATCACCAGTGACACCACAGAAGATCTGGCCCTTCTATAACACCCACCAGGCGCTTGTGGGTTCATGCGTGGGAAAAGCACGTTTGGCGCTCCGGTTTCCAAAGTCTGGGAGGGAAACTGCAGAACATCTCTGGGCTGGGGAGATAGGACAGACCACACAGAGAGCTCAGCTTTCCCAGCTGACAGTGCTGCCAGGAAAAAGCCTGTTTCACAGAGCTGGGATGTGCCCTTTCCCTCAGCACCGTGCTCACAGGCCAGCAGATGAACGCTGGTAAGATGCTGGTGACGAGCTCGGCTCAGCTCCCCAGAGATCCATCGGCCACGCATCCAGAAACATCCCTGAGACCACAAAAACTCTCCGTGCCGTGGCCTTGCACACACCTGTACAGATCCTGCACCAACAGAGCGCTGTGTCACACAGAGCTGAGCTGCTGTGAGCAGCACCCAGATGGAGCAGGAACGTTGTATGGCACTTGCCTTCCCTTCCACACATCTTGGCTGCCCAGCTGGAAAGCTCTGAGGAGAAGACGTGAGCATTTCCCACATCAGGGAGCCCATGAAGCACAAGCCCAAGTGGTGCAAGACTCAGCTCAGGGAAGCAGTTTTGGGGCAATATTTTGGTTTCTATTCAACTGTGTGTGTCCTCCCCCCCCACCCCCAAGCTGGCAGGGACCCAGCACAGCTCCCAACCACCAGACACGAGGTAAAGTCTGGGGTGGAGGAGGGATGTGGGGAAAATTGAGAGCAGAGGCTCTGCCCTGCAAAGGGCCCCTTTCCCCATCGTCCTCCTCTGCCTTCGCCTGCCCTGGAGAACCGAAGGGCTGCTCAGCGCTGGGAGGAGCCCCGAGATTCATGAGATTTTAATCCCTTAACAGATTTCAGCTGGGACAGGGATTCATGGCACATGCCCCCATCTGCAATCCGCCCCCAGCCAGCAGGATCCTGTTCAACTGGAGAATGAGGGGGAGTGGCACGAACTGAACCTCATCTGTCCCCATGGGGTAAGGGGGTGCCCCAGGCATGTGCTGGGGACCAGAGGGTCCTGCTGCTGGCTCCAGCCCTGGAAGGGGACCTTTGGATGAAGGGTTGGAGCTCTGGATGAGGAAACGGGAATCAGTCAAACCCCAGGGATAAGGGAGAGCAGGTGGAGGCCAAAAGCCACGATCACCTGTCCTGCCAAACCTGCCCTGGTTTCTGCAGGGGGACCAGTTTTATCCTCGCTGACGGTCTGAGATGTGGTGGAGAGGGGAAGCCATTCAGCCTCCCCACGCCAGACCCCGGGGCTGAGGCATCGCCCAGCATCTGCACACCACCTTCAACAGCGAATGAGCCACCCTTGGACACGTTCCTCGCTCTGCCAGAGAGGGAGCGCATAATTGGAAGCAGAGGGATTACACCATGGGAAAGCAAACACGGGATGAACAGGATCGTGGTTCCACTGGGATAAACAACCCCGGCGCCACTGCCGGCCCTCCTCGCCATCACCACGTGGAAACAACTCCTGGGCGAGGCAAGACGTGAGGATTGGGCTCACAAACCGCTCCAAAAAGAAGCAGCCAAAGAGCTGAGAGGAGGACGCAGGGAAAAACCTCGTGATGAAGATGTTATTGCAAATTAATTTGTTTTCATTAAGAAATTAATCACCCGCTCCTCCT